ATATATATATATATTCGATCCCATGACTAGGCGTGAAAAGCTTTCGCCAACATGGAGCCCGGTCCAGCTCATCTTTGGTACCCCGTGGCTGAATCGTGTGGTTCCGTGAGTCCAGCCCGAGTCGATAAACCCGACCCAACCGGCCTAAGATAAACCCCGCTTCACCTGCATAACTATTGCTCGACGTCGTCGCCTCCGCCGCAGCCGCTGTGGCTGCCGTCGAAGCGCAACGTCCCCTCGTCGTGGAGCAGACGGCCGCCAGCTACTGGGAGACGTGCTCAGGGTTTGTATATATAATGCACCCGTTTGCTCGACTCCCAAGCTAGGGTTTTTCTTCGGCTGCTTGTCTGTATAGAGTAATTTTGTTTGAAGCGCTTGCTTTGGGTAATTTGTTGATCGTTTTTAGCTTCTTTCCCGTTTCTTTCATCACGTTTGATGAATTGGATCGCGATGTTTTTGTCGATTTATCTAATTGATGGTCTTTGTTGGGGGTCCCTGTGAAGTGCTGTGTTGATGAGCATTGATCCACGGTAAATTTCATTGAACGCGACTCTTTAGAATGTTCCATCTCATTTGAAATTGGAAATAAGAAAGAAACGGATTGGAGGGAAAACAAGAAATGTCAGTCATTATGGGTTTGGTATGTTGGTTTCAAGAACGATAACCTTTAACTTGCTTTTGATCTATCAAATTCTCTCAGCTGTATCTTTGCATCAGCTGGTGTGCATACGACCGTTGGCTTCTGATCAATATGGGTATTGAGCTTATAAAGAAACTAATTTCGACAGGAAAAGGCTAGACATGACAAAAGACATGAAATGAGATATATTATCATCACTAAGCAGCAACAAGATAGTCTTAAACTCTTAAGACAGAAGCTCATTGGTTAATTTGCCTGCTTGCTCTGGAATTGTTTGCATAAGGTGTATCAGTTTGCTTTGACTATGTGCATGACTAACTTCTCTTCTAAAAATCGAACTAATGTTATACTTCAAATGGAGTAACAAAAGAACTTCGTTATTCTTCTTTAAGTTCACATTACTCTGGGAAGAACATCTAGTTGTTATAGTTAGGAATTGATATCTATCCTTGATGATTGAGTGTCTAGATGATTTTCTTTGTAACTAGAAAATTTCTAGTATTGTCAATTGCCTAGACCTCTTTGCAATATATTGAACCTGGTGATGTTTATTTATTATTATTATTTGGACAAATAAGATACCAAGGATATATTATTTAAGTCCTTATTTCCATTGGATAGAAGATTAGTGTGTATTTGTCAACTTACAAATCAATGAAAGGAACTTTTAGTTGGGTTGAAGATGTCCAATCCACCATATATACTGTTCAATTGGCCTAGCTTAGAGTTTTCTTATAGCTACTGTTCTTTTTTAATGTCAATGGAGCATGGTCTTTAAGTTTTACAGCTCATTTGTTCTTTGTTTAGGTAACTGCTATCGATATTTCTTGGAGAAGCACATGACCATCCATCAGAATTGTTTGCCTTGATATGGCTTCTTTGCTATTATTCTGGTCAGGTGAAAGTAATCCTGGTTCTTATACATCAACATCAGCGGTCAAAATCCTTGCGACGCCTAGTGGTACTGCATTGGCAATTCCAGTCTTCAGGCCAAGGGCAGAAAAGGGCTACAGGATACTGTTCCACAGTTCTCCTCAAGTTCAAGTCCTTGGCCCTGGGGGAGAAAAATGGATCCCTGGTGTGGAGTCACTGATAATGCCGCTCAGGTTACCAGATTGCAATGTAAACCATGAAGCACAACCCAGCTGGAACTGCAACAGCATTTGGCTCCATGACAAAGATATATTCCTGCAGTATGTTGATGGGACCACAAAAATTTTATGGTCTTGAGAAGCGATAAGGATGCTGTTATAAGACTCCAATGGAGCACAGATGGGACTCTGGGATACCTGGTATGTAGAAACTGGGAAGCAAGTGACAAAGTGTGGAACATTCATCCTTTGTGAATTCATGCTGCCCTTCACAAGGGGCCTACCTCTTATTGTGGGTTGCTCTACTGATGGAACAGCCTAATTCTGGGACTTATATATTTAAGTGGTGCAATCCAGACATTTCTGGACAAGTAGTAGATCGCATCTGTAAGTTCGTCTGGTAGATCACATTTGTAAGTTCCACTGTGATAGCAGAAAACAATTTTACTGGAGGATTGGACAAGGATAACAAAGTATGCGATTTAGCAGGAATGATGTAACAATGACACTCCAATGTCATGGAACAATGTCACTCCAGTGTCATGGGAACATGATCTGATACACAGCTGATTCCTGGTGGATCTTATCTTTTGACTAATGGCATGGATTGCATGCTTTGGGTCCGGAAAAGGCACCTCTTTAGACTTGTTCCCTAATTTGCATGCTTCAATTCTGGGACATGTGCGCCCATATGCTCCCAATATCAGGTATATTAATTATTTTTCTGGGGCCTCATCTTAACCTTGGGAAGAACTTTCTGAAATGTGTCTGTTCCCAGATGAAAAGATGCCGAAGCCATGGCATTTTGTGCAAGCTCCTGGACACAATGGCTCTGTAAATAAGACTGTTCTATCCAACTGAGCCCGTCATAAGTACTTGCAGTAGAGACAAGCAAATAAATTCTGGGGAGATTTGAAGCATTGGGCACCCCACTCAGCTTGCTTGGAGCTTTGAAAGCTGAGATGGACAATGGTTGCTTTGGTCGTACTTGAAAGATATTACTAAATGGTATTTACGGCTTTCTTCATATACGGGTTTTTGGTATCTATGTTCTAGTGCTTATTTTGAGCTGCCAACTTTCATGTCTCCGTAAGCTTGTAGTCTGCTGAAGGATTGGCCTGATACTGTCACCTTTTACTTTAAATTTGCAATGTTGTCGCTGTTGATTTTTAAAAGAACAGGTTAAAGACTTGGTCAACCTAAACAGCAAGCCAAGAGGCCCACAAGAACTCATCCCATCCATAACAGCGTGGAAAATGCATAGCTTGAGCAAGATGGGGAAAATTGCTGTAGAAAATTAGAGAACCTGTTCTGCAAACATGTAACTGCTGCTCACCTTCTTCTATTGTTTTCCTGCATAGGTCTTATTATTAGATACGACACAAATAGCTGGTCCAGTTTCTCATTACTGTTCAATTTTGAAATGTTCTTTTGGTTAACTAGCTCCTCCAATTACAAAATTTTGCTAGCTATATATTTCTTCAGTCCTCTTTACATCTTTTAGTAAAGTACATTGTCACTTGAGGCTACACAAGACACCTGTATCCTCTTTTTGTTCTGTTTTCTTGTATGCTTACTGCAATTTTAGATTTAACAATTGTTAGAAATTGAAAGTCATTATTGATAGTTGAAGATGAAAGATCAATAGTAGATTACATCCAAAAAGCCACCACCATTGTAAATCTAACTTCCTTTTTCTTTTTCCCCAAGGAGTTTGAAGTCCAATGAACATTTCCTGATCTAATGAAGGGCAGACAAAATTGTGGCTTTGTTCCCATGGACCATCATCAGCTCTGGTATATTCTGAGAAACACCATATGTGAAAGTCAACAGATGAAACAATCAAGTCAAAAAGAAATTCCCATTCATAGTACCAGAGAGTGCTTTGTGAGACCAGGTCCCTGGGTCATTAAAGCTGATTGGAAACATCAGCCTGCTATTTCCAAAGGCAGTAGGTATCCAGACTGATTACATCGAACACTTTTCTTCTTCATGTTTAAATGCAGGTCAAGCATCCAGGTGAGTGAGCTGGGAAGTCGACAGTCATGGGTTTCAAATATATATATATATTTGGTGATGGAACACTGACTCGTTGCTGGAAGCCTTATCCTGACCACTCTGCTGCTCTTTTAATGTGGCCTTTTTCTTCTGCACACAACATCTTTTGATCTGACCAGAGTCTCTTCTTTATTATCCACCGATGAATGCAGCACAGGGGAAGCGGACAAATGGTGGGCCAGCCTCTTGCTTTCTGATCGCTCGAGAGACGATGGAGACCTTCCATGAAGAGTAAACTTCCTTAGGAAGTGGCAGAGCACCAAACGCTGCTGCAAAGGATGTGATCACTAACAGCATCTTTTAACGGGGTAGTGCTATATAATAAGTTGGCAAAATCATGCAAGCCTACCGTGATGGTTGGCTGCGATATTTTTGTCATTTTTATCTTGATGCGTGTATGCCATCATAACATTGTTACCTGAAATAATTATGATGAGCACTGAAAGATATCGTATTAAAGTGGTGTTATTTGATGCAGTTGATCAAATCATGAGAAGGCCAACATGATATGTGGGATGATTCAACATCATGATAGCTTTATTTATGCATGTGATGTTCACGTGGATGACACATACATGCAATATGGATATCACAATATAAATAATTGATCGATTATTAAAGATAATTGAATCACTAACATATTTAAACTAATTAACTAAATTGATTTAAATACACATTAAAAATAAATATTTAAAGGTGGTATTTTTTGTTGTTGTTGTTGTTATTCCTAAATGATAATGGATTTAGTTCATTTACTTAATGGATATTCTATATCCATTTTCAAGTGGATCCGAATCCAATTAAACCAGGGAGGTGTAGGCCAAGAGACACCAGGACCTGAGCGGCGCAGACGACAAGTACGCTAAGAAAACACCAGATTGAGCCATAGATCCTTGTCTCCCTTCCTAACCACTCGCCCCTTCTTCCATCTCCGTCCGCCCAACGCCCCCACGAGTCTTCATCCTTCCGTTCCCGTCACAAGGACACTGTCGAGAGGGAGAGGGAGAGGGAGAGAGAGAGAGGACGTGGGTCAAAAAGACGAGAGGGGGCAGCAACATTGCAGTGCACAAGTCGGTGGCCTGTCTTCGTCAGGGATCTCCTGAGACACTGACTCACGCCTCCCCCTCGACCCCACGGCACCGCTCTCACCCCGAGGCGTAGAGCAGCTGAAGCAGTAGCCGACAAACACAGGGAGGGAGATCCGCCCTCTCTCTCTCTCTCTCTCTCTCTCCGCCTCCCCCCTCCTCTTTTCCTTATATAGAGATGGTTTCCGTCATGAAATGAACGGCGACGCCAGCCCCAAACCCGCGCCTTTTTTTGCCGTTTCCTTCTCTCACGATGGTCCTCCACGACGCGGCGGCCGCGGCGGATGCCGCCGAAGCGGACGCGGGTAGGGGGGAGGAGAAGAAGAGGCGGAGAAGGAAGCGGAAGGGGCGGGGGAGGAGGAAGAAGGCGACGGCCGAAGAGATCCTTGCCTCCGGATTCGTCCGACGGTGGGCCTTCCCTGATGCCTCTGTCAACGACCACGACGGAGATGGCGATGACGGGAAGCCCACCGGAGCCGCGGGACGGGTGGTGTTCGAGTTCCACTCACACTCGACTTGTAGTGACGGGTTCTTGTCCCCGACGGCGCTGGTGGAGAGAGCGCACAGCAAAGGGGTGAGCCTCACTCTGCTGCTCCCTTTCGATCTTTAAGTGGTCTCTTTTGGTTAACGATCGATGCCCGCGAGGTGTTCGCGTCGAGTTCTTGCCGTTTTCGTTGCTTCACCGGGATCCTTGTTGAAAGATTAGGTTTTGACACGACGTTTTGGTTTTCCTGGGATCTTTCGGAATCGTACTCTGCCGCTTTTTCTGGATTTGAGCGTGGTCTTCGTGATCCAAAGTCCCTTCTATTACTAAAAGGTTTCCATTTCCCTTTGGTCCTTCTCTGACTTGTTCGTCTTGCAGCCATAACACGAGCTTCTTTCTCTTTAGTTCATCGAAATATTACCTCTTTTTTTTTTCTTGGGTTTAATCGGTTGTGACATCAAGTTTGCACCAATTTGTCCATAAGGATAAGTATGATCTGTAGAACACGGATAATATCTCTTTTTCATTTCTCTGTTGCATTGAACTACAGTGGTGACTATTAATCTTAATGATTTAGCTTCAAGGAGAAATAATTTCATTTACTTGTTGGGAGTCCTCAAATTCTCCTTATGCTTCTGTTCTGCAATTTCTGACATTGATTTATCCTCTCTGCTTTATATCTGTGACCAAGAACAATCAAAATAATGAAGCAACATTTCCACATCAACATCTCCCTTCTCATGTGACTGATCTCCTTTTACCAATTCCTAAACCTGTCAGCTTAAAGTTAACTTAGTTTCTCTATCTGAAGATTTGATTTGTTTGACTCTTTCTTGGACACAAGATTCACCATTGGTAGTTGATACAGGTAACTAAGGACTTATTGTACTTGCACTCTGTACTTTCTAGCTATTAGTGTGCCACTCATGGGGTAGCCCGAATCAGCTTTCTTTGTTGAGAAGAGCAACCGATGGAGCCGTGATCATTCTTTGGTTTATTGAGTCCTCCATGGATTTATCAGGGCATCTTAGAAAGTTAGTGGAATAAAAGATCTAAGGACTTATACCTACCATACATGTTAATGAATCTAAATACTTGCCAAGAAAATTACAATCACATGCGTGTGTGTTTCTCTGCCGGGAGCATTTGTGCATGGTGGTTTGGTGATGCAGGTTTGTTATGTATACTGCGAAACATAATTCGATTACCATGTGTCCAGAGCAGGTGGATGTACTTGCTTTGACAGACCATGACACCATGGCTGGTGTAGCAGAGGCTGTGGAAGCTGCCAATAAGTTTGGAATTAGGATAATTCCAGGAGTTGAGATAAGTGCCGTATATTCTCCTAGGTAAATACTTTTCTGCTTTTCTTTCATAAATATAAGAGGAATATTTCAGTTTTAATAGCTTAAATGATGTTTCGTATAAGTTTTTTGAAATCGATTAACTGGGCTTACTTTGCTGACATGCAACATTAACCATGGAAAGGGAAGAGTCTGAGACCGAGGAACCTGTTCACATCCTTGCATATTATGGTAGCTGTGGGCCTTCACAGTTTGAAGATTTGGAGAACTTATTGGCCAACATTAGATATGGTCGTTACCTTCGTGCAGAGGAGATGTTGGTGAAGCTTAGTAAACTCAAAATGCCTCTGAAGTGGGAACATGTCGCCAAGATAGCAGGCGATGGTGTGGCTCCAGGAAGGGTTCATGTGGCTCGTGCCATGGTTGAATCTGGTTTTGTGGAAAACTTGAAGCAAGCTTTTAGTAGATATTTATATGACGGCGGTCCTGCCTATGCTAAGTAAAAGATGCTACCTTTTGTGAAATTTCATGTATTCTTATCTCTTATATCGCTTTAAATGATACCTGATGATTGTTAAATCATATAGGGGCAGTGAGCCATTCGCAGAGGATGTTGTGCGATTGATTTGTCAAACTGGGGGTGTAGCAACCTTGGCTCATCCGTGGGCATTGAAGAATCCTGTTGTCGTCATCAGGAGCTTGAAAGCTTCTGGTCTTCATGCAATGGAGGTTTATAGGAGTGACGGGAAATTGTCTGGTATGATGATTTGAATTATCTTGGTTCCCTTTTCATTTTTGGTTCAAGGATACATATAGTAGTTTCTTGATCACTCGTTTAAATATGGTGCCTTTGTGCTCTATCATTCTCTTTCACGGCATGCAGCGACAAGATATTCGTTTCCTTGACAGGGTTCGGTGATTTGGCCGATAGGTATGAGCTTGTGAAAATCGGTGGATCAGATTACCATGGAAGAAGTGGGCAAGATGAGTCCGACCTGGGGAGCGTTGCTCTGCCAGTTCTTGCTGTGTATGAATTCTTGAAGCTAGCTCAACCTATTTGGCACATTGCTATGAGAGACATGTTGTCAATGTTTGCCGACGAGCCCTCTGATATCAATCTACAGAAGATTATCAGGTTCGGAAAGTTCAACCTCACCAAGGAATATTCAGGTGTGAGCTGTGGCAAAGATGTTCTTGATCTGTGCCTATCTTCATGGCTAAATAATGAAGAAAGAGAGAATTCCGAACTTGAGGCCATCAAGGTGCAACTTTCTGATATCGTTCTTTGTGATAGAAAGAAATGCCTGTAAGGAGCAGATGATTTCTTCTGGTCTTTCTCTTTCCAATACTTGATCGAAACATTTTGAGCCGGTTTAAACTAGATGGAAGTTACCTGATTATTACAAAAGAAAAGTTTAGGTCTTTTTGGAAATTCATCTTTCCTGTTTCTTCGGTAACTGAGTTGCATGTGATAAGAGAAAATTCTGGTAGAACTTTGTCAAAACACATGTGCATATTTATCATCAATATATTTTTCTTCTTGATTTGTACTTGTCTGGCATGCTTACTTTTAGTTCCATTGAACCTTTCTTCTACAAGGCTATTGATTGTTTCTTCAAATCTTTTGGAGTCATTAAATGCCTCATACTTTGATCTGTTAGCAATTGTCAATGCTTGCAAGTTTAATGAAAGCCCTTTCTTTTTAGTCACACCTAGATCTACATTGCTGCATTTTAAGATGTTATTTGACAAAGCTTGAATCCAGATACAGGTAAATACTCGATCTGATCCATGGCTATTAGGGAAGAAAAAGGAAGACATCTCAGAGAAGGAAAGAACATGTCTTCAACCCAACTCAGTAAAAGTTGGCATCAAAACCCATCACTTGCAATGCATTCACATCCAACATTTAGTGTTATGACATAGCAAACAAGAAGTGGCAGACATTAAGGTAAAGCAGAAAAATTGACTGACTCTCTTAACTCTTCCTGGAACACTTTATTACCATCCTACAATTTCTCTAGTATTGAGAGGCAATAAAAAAATATCAGAATTCTATGAAGCTAAAGATTGTGAGACATACTTGTTGGGGTGCCTTCTGCTCTCCAACACACTGGAGCACAAGTCATGCACACACCTCATCTAATTGGATCAAGGGATTTAGAAGGTGAAGACTAGGTTAATTCTTCATCATTCACATCCCATCCTCATAAATTATTATACCAAATAAGATTAGATGATGGTGTTCCTATAAGAGAATCAAACATGGCTTCCCTAACATGTCCCATCCTAGCTACTCTGCTCCAAACTCCCAGTTGATTGACACCTCAAGAACAGCAAGATGGCATAAGTAGGTAAGATTGCTTTCAGAAGAATAGAATCTACCATGGGAGAGATGAAATCGAGGTGGGTTGTTTGCCTTGCGGGGTATGTGTCAGCACAAATCCCCAAAGTGGCAGTGTACAATCTTAAGCATATCTGACAGTTCATTAGGCCTTCCTTCCTTCCTTCTCATGGTTATTTTCCAGTTCAAAGATCCCTGAATCAGAAACCTTTACATCAATTGTCGGTGTACAAAGATTCAGCAGATCGATCTGCCACCACATCAGTGTGACAGTGGAATGGCAGCATTTGGTCCCCATTCCCTTTTGTTTTGTGGAAAGTAGTAAGCATCGGACCTTAAAGAGTACTTACTGATCTAAGTTGGCAGATCTAATAACACAGGACTATAAAATTCCCCCGCATGGGCATGTGATTGGACTCTTTCCAACATCGACTCTGAGAGGGAAGGAGCAGAGCAAGGAAACTAGGGTTCCTAGCAGATGAATGCTGCAGCATCTCGGCAACAACAATTCAACAGCTGCTGATCGGTATGAAACTCTTATATCATAGCTGAAAAATGCATGGATCAATTCTTCATAGTCTCAACACCTAATTCCAACAATCGATCACTGTCATGTATGATCGAAACCAATGTTTGATGACTGACTTTAGGAAGAGTACCAAATCTATGAGGCTCTTACCTTGGACTTTTTGGACTAATTTCTCCAAGAATATTCCCTCTCGCTGAGGAGTGGATATTCCTCTTTCACGCAACTCAATGTTCAAACAAGAAGCACAAAAGTCTTCCTGATCGATACGTTCGCATTTTTCAAACCAAGGAGAATGAACTTCCCATCCCATTATATCAAAGTCAAACCTTTGTGGGACACTCTTTATTTATGAGACAACGTTGAAACAGTGAGGGCGACAAAAACTATATATATATCGTATATTCTTTCAAAAGAAGTACGATAGGAACAATGCATTGGGGACTATAGAATGAATACATTTCGATTGATGGTATCTTGCTGGTATATACGTAGCATCTGAGATGTATTATTAGACCTGATTCCTTTGGACCATTTGATTAAGGAGTTTAGCTCTTGGTGAGGAGAAAGAAACATCCACAGAAAGATCCCCCTCGAAGATCTTGTCTTGTTTGGACTTTTATGTATTATGTTACGTTGACCATCCCAAACACGATCTTCTCCGATCTGCTGCTTCACAGAAAAGTCGAAGTAGATAAGAATCGCTGCATGAATTGATCCCATTCCTTCTCCTGCAGCGGTCGCCAGCGGTGGGATCGATGCAGTGACGCTCCGGTATCACCGTGGATCCAATGGCGCAGCCGAGCAGGAGCGGCGACAGCTGCGGGGAGATCGAGGAGCTGGGAGAGACGATCGACGACATCGTTCCTGGCAGGGGGAAGCCTGTCGTCATCGACGTCGACGACGACGTTTACGTGGCGGTCGGGAAGGGGAGCTCGAGCATAGTTGCGCTGTCGTGGGCGCTGATGCATGCCGCCACCAAGCCTTCCAGCTTCGTCTACCTCGTGCATGTCTTCCCTCCCGTCCATCACATCCCAACTCCATGTGAGTCCGCCATGCCCCCTCCTTGCTCCTGCTGATCCTTCTGGTTCGACGCCTTCTTCTTCTCTTTCTCTTTCGGCGTGATGGGTAGTAGCACTTCTTACCAACCAAATCAAGGTTACTTGATTTCTGTGATCTGCGATAGACATCAACACAATCTCTTTCGATGCCGATCATAAGACTTTTGTTGTCAAAATGCAAGTTTTGTTCTCATCCATCGACCGTATGGGTATCGAATGTCTTCTGATGGATGACTGTCCATCGTAGTAGGACTGCTACCGAAGGAGCAAGTGAGCCAAGCACAGGTGGAGTCCTACATGCATCAAGAAAGAGTTAAGAGACAAAACATGCTGCGCAAGTTATTGGATCTATGCCAATCTTTTGAGGTAATTTTCTCATCACATGATTGATATTTAGGTTATGGAGTTTCAAGGAAAGATGATAAGAGTGAACTTGCTGTGTCTAAATATGTATTAATTTTTTCTTCATTTTACATAAATATCAGGTGCAATTTGATACTTGCCTTATTGAGAGTGATCAGATTGTAAAGGCTGTCACAGAGCTTATTCCAGTGCTCCACATAAAAAGATTGATTGTTGGGACCTCGAAATCCAACTTAAGGTAAATTACACCAATAAGTAAATACTTGATTAATGATCATGCCAAATAAAGCTTTCATATGACAAACACACAGGAAGTGGAAGAAAGGAAGCTGTAAAGCAGTACAAATACAGCAGAAGGCACCTGCATGTTGTGAGGTCAAGATCATATGTGCTGGAAGACAAGTCTCAGCTCCTGATCAATCCGTGTCATCTTCCCCAGCTTCGGATAACCCTCACAGTGATAAGAACACAGATGGTGAGACAAGAAACAAGAAGTCCAAGGGCACAGCAGACTGTAGATGCATACCAGTAAAATTATTGTGATCTATGATTACTTTCCGCCTGCTATCATTTGTCATGATAGGGTGGAACATGGGATTGTTCTATATAGTAAATTGTGTGTGATAATAATAATCCTTCAATAAGTTTAGCAATATCATTTGTCAAAGAAAAGGATCATCATCATGAGTTCTTGTCTCCACAAGAATGATATAGATTCTGCAAATATCTAGCATGGGAGAAAGAAAGTCTTGTTCATTTCTAAGATGACTAAGAAAACATCTTCTCTTGATCAACAAAAAGGAGAAGATACTTCAGCATCCATTTGATTAATCGATAATACATTTGGAAAAACTGTGGTGCAGCTTTTGGCTTAACGGAATTTTGACAAGTTATAACAAAATTGCAATCCTGACACCTTTAGTAACACCATGAGATTCTAGCCCTTCAGCAGATTGCTCCAATGGAGATGAATCACTAGAAGAAATCAAATTCTAGATAGTTGTCAGAACATTTCTGATTAGCGGTAGCTGCAACTTTTTCACCCGTCGATACTGTCGGTTTGGACAACCGCTCAATGTCAATGGATTTTGGGATCTCAGGCGGACTTGCACAACGTATCAGTGCCCAGTTAACTCCCTCAAAAAAAGGATGCTGTTTGATCTCTGAGGCCCCGCGTTTATATGCAAACCGATGCTGAGGCTCTTTCACGAGCAGTCCCCTTATCAGTTCTCTGGCAGCGAAGCTCACGGTCGGGGACTCTGGGAAGCGCAATGGTTGCCCGACGACATTGAACAGTGTGGCCCTGTTACCTGATCCCTTGAATGGGGTCTTCCCAAACAAAAGCTCGTACATGAAGATGCCAAAAGTCCACCAGTCGACGGCACTTCCATGGCCCTCACCCTTGATGATCTCTGGCGCCAAGTACTCATGCGTACCGACAAAAGACATTGACCGGGCATCTGTGGGCTCTGCTATGAGTTCTGGCAATGGGCGAACCTGGTTCCCAATCTCTGGTTTCGATTTCCTGTCTTTAGATATGGAGAAAAATCGTGGACCAAAGCAAGTTGTAGGTGCCACACAAGAAGGCTGGATACAGGATGGCTCGATACAAGCTGGCTGGACACAGTATGTTGGATTGTTCCTCCTAAATGATTCAGAATCTGGATTGGAAGACTTGATCAAAGTCGGCCTTACTGTGCAGCGAAGAGAGAGATCAAAATCAGAAAGCATGATGTGTCCATCCTCCCGCACAAGCACGTTTTCTGGCTTGAGATCACGGTATATGATTCCAAGCATATGTAGGTATTCTAGTGCCAGGAGGATCTCTGCTACGTAGAACCTGCATTTTAAGAATTAAGTAGAAAGAGTGATCAGTGAAGAGCAGAACACCACAGATCTTGATGCCCTCACTCATTAAAAATAGCTCAGTAGGTTTTTATTTACTAATCATGCTACCTCAATTTAGTATCTGGTCTCTAGTTCATAGTCATCATTAGTTTCAAAAGATAACAAAACAAAATTAAGTTTCACGGACGTCGTCGGCAGAACATGGTACTCTTTTCAGCCTGCATGTGATTGGAATTCTTAAACTTTAAAAGGTGTGAACCCTTCTGCGGGTCGAGTTCAAATATTGGGATTCAGTCAACTGAAATTATTCAGCAATAAGAACTTGGAATACTAGTCTACGGATATATCAAGCAATGTGGATAAACCAAAATAGCAACCTTTAAGTTGACTAATAATCTAGCCAGCATTTTGACAGATAATGATATGATGCATGTGATTGGACCAACCTCCAAATATTTGTTCATACAATAAACTACACAGCAGCAATACTGCATCTTGAAAGTAGCTGATACCTCAAAACCACTTTTTGAGTAACATAAAAGCCAAGAGAATGGTTTCAGCAAATTTGACTCCTGTTTATGTAACACAAATTCTGCTTCAACCAAAGTATGATGTTTGAATTCTAGAGAAATCTCCAGAGATCAATCAACCTACAATTTATGGACTTCTAGTACCTACCATGTAAGAAGAGAAAGAAATGTTTACTAATAGAGAATAACCTAATGATGAGCGAATGGATTTCCTCATTGCAATTTATCCTCTCATTTCCGGTTTCATGGTCCTTTGCTCATTCTGCTTCATTTTCCTTTCAATTCAAACCAATAGAAAATTAACTTAAAACAAACATGTCTTGTTGCCTCCATAATCATTTAAGTGTCTGAATCAATGCTTTGAAGAAAATGAAAGTGAAAGAATCAAGAAAAGCATAAAGTTAATAAAGATACTAAAAGAAAGATGTATTATTCAGCAGTGTCGACATACACAAACTTGATTCACATGCATTGGCTGACCAAAACAGATCAATTCAAAAGGACTTCAAACCTATCGGAAGCAGGTGATGGACCAAAATAGATCAAATAAACCTAATTTATATTATGAAAACAGTAACCCCAAGTATAATAAGAAATTGAAGTGTAGAATGTACTTCACAGCTTGTTCTGAAAAATGTTTCCCGGGCTGCCTCTGACGAAGTGTGTGCAAATCCCCTCCAGGGCAGAACTCCATCACCAAACATGAGAATTTATCCGTTTCAAAGTGCGTATAAAGTGTTGGAAGAAATGGATGATCCAGAGATTGTAATATCTCCCTCTCTGTCTGAGCTCTAAGAAGTTTCTTACGACTAGCCAGTGAACCCTTATCCATGAGCTTCATTGCAAAAAAACTTTTTGTCCCACTCAACTCTGACAGATACACGCTACCAATATCACCACAGCCTAACTTTTTTAACAACCTAAAATGCGTTAAACCCAGAACCCCATCTCGTGAGCGGATCATCTTTATGGCTTCCCATCTTGAATCATTTGTTTTATGAGGCTTTGTTATGCTGCTACTCAAGCTGCTACATGAGCTCTCATCACTGATGTCGCTGTTTGTACTAGGTCTGCACATGCTGCTTTTCCCGCTGTCAACAAAGTCAGCTGTCAGACTGCTGGTTCCGTCACTAACTTTAGTGGATACAATAATATCATTTCCACTCTGTTCAGAGTTCTTTCCTTGATCTCCATTAACATAGACAACCACCGTAGTCTTATTGACTTCTGTGGAGAGTCCTTGTTGCATTGGTTGTTTCTGACTATCTGAGGGAAGTGTATCACTAGTTTCAGAAGAACTGATGGCCTTTGTATGAACTTTGTTTTTCGAAGTGTCAAAAGATCCCTTCTGATGATGTGTCAATTTTTTATCTTCTTTGCCATCATTCACAGCACACTTAGACTCAGTCTGATCCACAGCTACAACTTTTATGGCTGTCGCAGAATCTGATTTGCTTGGCTTCAAACTTTGTGAAGGTTTACAGACATTTGGTTCTATTTTACGACTTCCAGGTGCTTCAGGTTGGTGCTCGGGGCTGGTTTGCAAGATTGTCCTCGAAGCCATTGATCTATACGCAACACTTGTTCATGTAAGAGAGGAATGTGATCAATAAGTTGCTTATCAAATGAACCAAGATTTGCAACATTCAAGCAAAGAATCAAATGTTTCTCTGACAACACATAAAACACGGTCGGTTTATCAAATAATCAAGAAACACTCTCCTATGAACCAAAATTTATACAGAGATTTGCTGCATTGATAGCCATGGGAGTATCTGATCAGTTGTTTCAAGGTGGAAATATGTGCACTGCACAAAAAGATGCACAGCATGAATTAAGCGACTGCCGTCACAAATTAGGGACTCGAAAGACATAATTCACAAGAAAAAACTCAAAAGGAAACCCGTTGTCGAACATATAGCATGGCAAGATCATCAAACAAATGGAAAGTTCAAATCAGGGCACTTAAGAGTAGAGCAGCGACATCATCCATATCCAATCCTTCAGCGATGTGAGGATGCATCAAGATCCACAAGCAGATTGAACAAGAGCTATGCATTTTAATACACTACGACGTACATAAACAGAGGCTTCGGATATCATAATGTGATGCATCTGAATGCAGAAAATAGTGTAGATAATGCACCTACGGGGAAAGATCGAGGCACAAACATTCCACAACGGAGAGGACGGTCGATCACGATCGACCTCAAAACAAGGATAAGGATTTTTTTTGTTGTTTTTGACAAACGACCAGATGCTGCTCGGATTAGGGCGTCAGCACCTGAATAAAGACCCAAAAAATCCAGTAATGCAAAAGAAGAAGGAACAAAATAAGGAAATCAAGGATCATGAACACTACTGATCAGGCCAGCCACAAAAAAAATGCGATCTTTACACAACGAGAGATTTCGAAACCCCGGAATAACCAGAAAAAGGGGTTTATCAGCGGGAAACCAACAGCAAAAGAGTGCTGTTTCCAGTGCAATTTCCCGATCATTAACAACGGAGCACAAAGAATATATCTGAAACCCAAATCCAAAACCGACGAGGAGAAGGCGCTGAAACCGACGGGAGACGCAAGAGACCAAAGAAGAACCGAGTGCAAGAGAGGCCAAAACCACACCTTGCGCCAAGCCCACAACTTTAGGCCTTCAGATTGGCAGGCAGTGAGATAGCTACCACTTCCTGGCCTCGGCAAATGAAGAGACTGAGAGCTGGTGAGGAGTGGAAACAGGGTAAGGGTGATTTGCCGAAGAAACGAAGAGCATTAGAAATGGGGCAGTTTCAGAAAGGTTTTTGGATGTGTGGTGTGAGTCCAAAAGTGCATGGAAAGAAGAGAACGGTGACAGCTAAAGTTAAGCTTTCTTTTCTTTCTTTTCATCATCCAATTAGTCCATTTTTTCCTCGTCTTGTCTACAGTGCGCCACTCAATCACCTACCTCAAGTCTGCACTTCCCCCATAGATTGGTCCCTCTCTCTCTCGATCGATGGAATTCCTTTTAATGTGGCACAGTTACAGCTCTCTACATCTACTGCTCATTTGACTCCCGGTAGCACCCAACCTATCCAGAGAGGAGAAAACCATCCCAGTTGGACTGAATCACCACCAAAATAGAAGATTTCACGGGTGATGTGGTCTCTCACAGATCTGATGATTAGATCCCATCTGGCTAGATCTGTCGGAGGTGAGGTGGGCCACCTAAATAGCAGAATCCAACGACAAGCTCAGTGCCTCCTCCATTCTTTCTGGTCTTTTGCAAGCCCTCTGTTTCAGATTAATTATGAGTAAATGACTAATAAATTATGTTTTGGTGATTCACTAGTACGCATAACGATCAAAAAAATAGCTTCCTTTGCGTGATTTAAAGAACATAACATCATCGACCGATTAGGATTACTCTGCTCACCAGTGCTGGTTGATTGCTTGAACGCTGTGGGAGGCGGTGGGTGCTGCCCACCCGACAGCCATTAAATTTTGATTTATGATGCCGCAGTCCTGCAAAGCTTGGTGGTGTTCCTCTCGTTTGACATTTGCGATAACATGGCTTCTTCTTCTTCTTCTTCTTTCACCTGTTACGGATCTCCTCCAGCTTCTGCAACATGAAATGGAAGTGTTCTTCTGTTTCCTTAATTGTTGTTTGTTTCTCTCTTTTTCTCCCCTTATATATAGCAACTGCAGAACTTCTATATTCCATAGCATAATTCACCATTTTGCATAGCGTTTTCTTCTGCTATATATAAAGCGCACGAAATGCCAAAAAAAAAAAAAGTTCATCTTCTTTTAGCAATAAAAAAATGTATTCTGCAGCCGTTTGACAATAAAAAATCGCCACTGAAGTGTTTTGGAGATGAAAGCTATTTGGTTCCTGAAATCTCTTACTAAGCAATGAATGTGCTTTTCGCAACAAAGAAAATATTTTGCACCTTACTTCTGAGTCCTTTCTGTCGGCAGCACAAAATGATTCTTTCGCAACAAAAATTAGAGAAAAAAAAAAGGTATTTGCAGCTATTTCTTAATGAATTGACAACAAAACTGTGAAATTGTCACCAAGTGTTTTGGCAACAAAAGCTCTCTCTCTTTTCCAGCAGTAGCTATTTTCAGAAAAGAAAGCTGCTTAATATCTGAAAGCTAGTTTTCAGCGACAAAAGAAGACGTATTTTTGGCAACGAAAGTTCATCAGTAAGCTATTTCTTAAAGAAATGACAATGACAGAAGCATATAATGAATGCACTGGAGAGAGAGAAAGAGAGAGAAAGAGAGAGAGAGAGAGAGAGAGCTCTCTTTCCAGTAGTAGCTATTTTCAGAAAAGAAAGCTGTTTAAAATCTGAAAGCTAGTTTTCAGCGACAAAAGAAGTATTTATGGCAATAAAAGTTCATCAGTAAGCTATTTCTTAAAGAAATGAAAATGACAGAAGCATATAATGAACTGGAGAGAGAGAGAGAGATAGAGAGAGAGCTCTTTCCAGTAGTAGCTATTGTCAGAAAAGAAAGCTGTTTAATATATGAAAGCTAGGTTTCAGCAACAAGAGAAGAAGTATTTTTGGCAACAAAAAATCATCAGTAAGCTATTTCTTAAAGAAATGACAATAACAGAAGCATCTATGGCACTGGAGAGAGAGAGAAGGATGAAGATAAGTTTGAACTTTGGAGAGAGATGCAGCAACAAGATTCGAAAGGGTTCCAATCTGACACAGCTGCCCAAGCAATAATCCAACAGTGGATTTGCTTTCATTCATCTGCAATGTTAGGACACTGTTTGGATATGTATTGGAGACACAGGAACCAAAAAGATAAAGTGAAACAAGATATGTCTCCATATAACTAAGTCAGCAAGTATAATGTCAAAATTATCTTTGTTTGGTGGTGTATAACTTCAACAAAAACTATATATATATATATATAAGCTTAGATCCACAAAAATATAAGCCCCAAAATATCCTTTGCTAGCATACTCTGTTTTTTAGCTTCACTAAAGGTTTATTATTACAATGAGGACATTATTAAGTATGTGTCCACTAATTCCAATAGGAACAACTTCCATCTGACTGACTTCATGCTCTATCAGCCACACTATTCTTGTGGAGGTGCATCTTTTAAGGTGGTATTAGGTCAACGGCAGGCCATTAGGAGGCATTCTCTAGCAATCATCATCTCCTTGGGTACAGTATTTAGCCACAATAAAAAAGGGCTACAAGATTCCATGTTGTCTCCAACAATGTCTTCGATACAAGTAAAGCCTGCATTGGTCAACAACATGGATCCAGCATTATTATAATCCATTGGTTTACACAACAAACAAAATCCAATGTATCCTATTGCATAGAGGATTGTACCTCAAAACATAGGGAGATTTATTACTGTTGTTGAGCATCTCTTGACTCTCCTCCTCAGCAGTGCAGAAGCTCCAAGGCAGTGCCATCATGAAAACCTGTTTCTCTTCCTCCTGCAGGAAACTAATTCAAACTTGTCAACATAGGCATCTTATGCATTTTGTGAGATGAAATCTTGCAATCACACAATTCTGCAAAATCTATGATCTGAAATATCTTGTCCATTAATAATAAGAGACTGTCACAGTTTTAGAAAGGACCAAAAACAAAGTCTAGTTTATCTATGCACAACAATATGCCTGAAGATTTCATGGCCAACAGAGATTGCACATTAGTCAAACTTTCCAGATTAAGGTTTAGGATTTTGATGCTGGCTGATAAAAACAGCAATAGTGAACAATTCAGAGAAAAAACAAACTAGAATGACAGCCTCCCAACAGAAGAAAACATAATTTATGGGAAATTAAGATTGCCTGAATCCTACATAAACCCACCCTGAAGTTCTTTGAAACAGAGATCATCATAGAGAATAAACTCAATGAGAATAAACTAAACAGATAGTGATAATGATAAAAGCTGGCAATATATCCCAAGACAATAGTGCCAAGATTAGTGCATATGAAACAATTCACTGTAGAATTGTAGGATATAAACTTGACAGTCTGGACCTCAAACAAATGCTAGAATTATGATTTGAAATTGAGATCCAGGCTCCAAGAAAACACCCAAAAGAAAAAAAAAAGTGAAAATTTCATTTGCTAGAACCAAGTAGTGATTTAAATGTAAGTTCTAACACACAGCAAGTGCAACAGGAATTGACATGTGGATGCAAATACATCATCACAGACAACCCAGCAGTCTGAAAGAATGGGCTTCTGTTCCATAACGAGTGAAGGGAAAAATAGAATATAAATACAGGAATCGTTGCATGTTCTTCCAAAAGCACACATGCATTGTGAAGGTAGTGTCGACAATCCAAAATGTTCATCAAACATATGACACTGTAGAGGCTTTAAACATTGTGATCTTATGTGATTTAACCATGATAAGCCTCAGAAGCTATTATTAATGGAAGAAGTAGCCGTGTTGCCCATCTTGACACAGAATAACAGCCAGGTTTACAGAAGAAAAGACTTTAATCTGAATAAGATCTCCAAACACTGTTGGCATCAGTCAAAACTTTTGCTGGTTGCAGCCAAGATGAGGGTACTCTGCAGATACTGTGCTAATCTGGCCCTGCCCCGATGCCTCCACAGAACAAAACATGATGCCCTTTATAGCCCTTGTGCAGTTGTACTTTCATGCATCCAGCATGGCCTGGTGTTCAGGCTCTTCAAAAACATGAACAGATGAGGTGAAGGGGACCAGCAATTATTTCACATTCAATATTTTCAACCAAATGGATTGCATAAACAAGTTTCATACCTACCCACAACCAAGCTGCCAACAAAAGTAATGCAAAAATTAGCTTCATTGTGATTATTAGGAGTGACATGACTTCAGGGATACAGCACTGTGTGCTGTGCTTGGGTCAAGCATCCAAGTGACATGCTTTCACTTGCTGAATACACATGATGTCTGAGGTAAGAAGTGTCCAAGACACATTTGATGGCTATTTCCAGCTCAATGTGGTTCTAAAAGTAGAAGAACATTTCTCCTAGTTCTTTCCATCAAAAGTGAAAGTAATAAAATAATTGAATAGCAGGAGGGGTAAAAAGTAAAATAATTAGTAAAAGTAATAAAAATAATTTTAGATATTTAATTGTTTATAGTTAATTTGAGTTTATTGGATGGAAATTAATGGAAGAAACATACATATATGTAAGATTTAAATATATTTCTACAGGAATATAATATATGTCCAATATTAGAATATGGAGGGATGAATATACTATTTTCAAAAATTGAAAGGATAAGCAGTAAAAAAACTCAATTTATGTTTTTTTTTTATTGGCAAAAGCCTTCTTTATAATTATTGATATTTTTTTATACCCACTGAATAGTTTCTTTGAGGACAAAAGGTGTTTGAGGAGGACCTTAATACATTAAAAATGAAAATAAATTAATAAAAAAGATTTTTTTATTGGGAATTGCTCCCATTTCAGAGATTCTTGTTTGCTTCATTAGTTGGAATGTTTGTGTTCATTTTTGCCAATCTACTCATTTGTTGTTCTATAAAGCCAAAAATTGGTCAGTGTGGACACATTAAAAGGAACATGAGTTCTTTTTGTGTGCCATATTGGCTCATAGAGCCAATTTTTGTGTGGCAATTGTAAGACTTAATTACTAGGCTGGCCAAATTGAGAGAATTAATTCTAGGCAGTGGCTGGTAAAAGATTGCATTTGATGTCACTCCATAGACAAAACTGAGGAATATAAAGTAAGCATGTGTTTTAGACATAAATTGTATATTGTGGTGTCTCTAAATTGATCAGAGGAATATAAAATAAGCAAGTGTCCTAGATATAAATCATATGATATGATACCTCCAAAGCTTATCCATGGTTCATTGTGGTCATTTGACTTTTGTCAGTTATATACCACACCATCATTATACATATTACTAAAATCCATACATACTTGCATATGTAACAAAAAAAAAATGTTCTTCATTGAGATCAAAAGCGCATGCAAACACATTACTGATAGTGCAATCATACAAGCAGAATCATGTATTAAAAAGGAGATAATATTCAACATGAAAAAGAATTAGCATTTATAAGGGTTCCCTCTCATAGGACAGGATTCAATAGAACACCTTGTGAGCATGTCTCATGTATGTGCATCTTGTAATACATATACATAGAAACACATATATGAAAGAATAAAAGTTCATAAGAAAATAATGAGAATGAAATATCGCCAGACAAAATCGCAAACAAAAGGAAAGTGTCTTTTGGGCAGAATTCATTCAATACCACAGCACTTTTTGAGAGACATTAGAATTGTACAACCCAAGTTATAGGGCTTCAAAGTTTTAAACAGATATGAATAGTGTGACAATTATATTATGTTTCTACAGTCATTGGCACACAAACCAATTTTACAGACTCTCCAAGAATCTTATTACATAAATGATCCTCTTTTACATGTGAACTGATACAAAGAACTGTCTGTCAGTTACAAGAGTATGCTCCACAAATTCAACATGAAAAAAGTTAGAGCGATATCCAAAGATCTGAATTGGAAACCTAAACTGGGAGCAGAATGCTGCAGCAGGTCATGCATAGCATGGCTACCGATCCTGAGGAGAATCAGAAGAATATACTGAAACAATAAGTGAGGAAGAAGACGGGAAGGAAGGAACTCAAAGTAAGGGGGTTGAGGTTCAAGGAAAATACTGTTCGGTTAGTTTGAGGCGGAATAGAAAATTATGCACTGGCTTTACCCAAATTGTAGAATATGTACACACCATTGCCTATCAGAATGAATATGAAGACCAGTTTTTACCAGATCAGAATGCTGGGCAAGATGGTGATGGAGAACTCATACTTCAAGAACATGCCCTGATGGCTTTTGTTTTCCCAAAGGAAGCACATTACTTGCAAGGGAAGCGTGATATATGTCAGTTTTCATTTTCCCAAATTATTTATCATTGACCATGCTCTTAAAAGCTTCTTGTCTGTGCAAGTGGATCATAATCATACGCTTCACCAGCTTTGACAAACCTCCCCTTTACACGCCTCCTCACATCTGCCATAGCCTTGCGAGAAGCGTACCTAATTTTTTTCTCAAACCTGTTCAGAAGGCAAGATAGATGTTTCTGAGAATTTAATCGGACATATCCGTGAAATATGTTAACCAAGAAATTACAATTTCCATCCAGTATCCATCAATTATCTGCATTGAAAATTTAATTCAATTGGATGCTGCAAAATGTTGCATCAGACATAACTTCAACAAAAGGAGCATGCAGAACTTGACTACATTAAATGCCAGATAATTTAATTTTGACTTTCATAAGGATTTAATTTTGACTTTCATAAGGCATGTTTCTCCAAAATCAAGTTTTACTTGAAAGTTGCATACTGGATAAACAAGCAATCTATGCTTCATTGTAGGAACTTACATTACTCATAAACTAAAGTGCTATGCAAATCACAATCACCAGAACTTATGCCCAAAATAACAACATGTATAAATTATTGGTCATTGTTTGAAGTCTTTATGAGAACATTTCCCCTGCGATATATGGCTGTGGCTTAAAAAGCAAGCATCCAGAAGTATAAAATTTTAAAAAGCATGGCTGTGGCTTCTAGGGTACATTGTAGTTTCAGACACTAAAGTTCCATGTGCGGCTATAAATGATTTTCCACAATCATGTAAGCCCAGCCATCCAGAATTTTGTAAGGCATTGATTTCAGTTCATTTGTTGGCACATCACAGAGAAGAATATAACCAACCTTTTGATTGAAATTCTCATAGTTAGTACTTACTTGCGTGCTTTCTTCTTTTCCTTGTAACGCATCACAGCACTATCCCTGCTAGCTGTAGGCAATTGGGAATTCTCAGGATCCGCTGGGAACCATGGAGGTTCACCCCTAAAAGGCACTGATGATCCCCCACAATCTTGATAGTCTCCGGCACCACTTTCACCAGTCAAACCAGAAAATGAAAGGGATAGACTGAAGTGCGCATGGCTTGCAGAAATAAACAGTCTCGAATCTGCATTTTTTCCTTGATTTGACATCACCGAATCAGCAGAAACTGCATTACTACGTGTTGCCAGCATAGGGTTAGGCTGCCCAGCAGATGATGCCTGAGAAAGATGGCAAGGATGATGTCAACATTTCCAATAAACAGAAAACCATAAAAGTGAAACAAAGCTTGTCAATGTTAACATAGGCAAGTTATATATATATATATATATATATATATATATATGTGAATAGCATTGTTATGAACTTATGATAACATAGGCAAGTTATGATAATATGTGAACATAATTGTTGCAATCAGCATTCAGCTTTACTGAGTACCACGCTCTTTAGCTTTGAAAATTTTACATAAGCTATGGGACTGGGGTCTTCTGACTACTGGAGGGTAAAAGCTAGGAAAATTGTCACAACATTGATAAAAGATTGGCACGAGCAATTTAAAACAATTAATAAGAAAATAGAGTTATGTATTTACATTCAAATCATTCTTAAATCATGTTATCCAAAGTAGGAATTGAGTCACTTTGGTGCATGATTGCCGCTTCATGCCACACATATATCCTATCATCCAAAGTGTCCACTGAGCAACACCCACCTCACTCAAGTAATTTCACATGAAAAATATCAGGTTTCTAATGGTACTGCCTTCTCATAATATAGGACTCTTTTTAAGTTGCACAACTAGAAATTTAAATGAAAAATACTAATGTAAAGATACATCAGTTTGTGAAACACAATAAAACTGACTAAAATAAGGAAATGGGTGGAAACAAGCAGGGCATGTCAATCAACTAGGTCATGATAAGTTAATCTATCCTGGCATGAAATCTCTATTGCAATATATTGGGCTTATTCAGGTAAAAATACATAACGTATAGGTTGAACTCTATATGCCATCAGAACTCAAGATAAGGCAGTTCAAAATTACACTGGAACAGTGAGAACATAAAGAATAAATGACACTGAATCAAGATGTACTTGTATTCAGTGAGTACCAGAATGAATCAAGACATACTTGCTATTCTACCAGTCAATTGTAGTGAATATGTTGATAAAGCAACATCATGTCATTTACTGGCATGGTTGCAGCAGACATGAAAAGAAAGAAACACAAATGTTTAATGTCATCCCCTTTTAACTTTCATATCTACAAAGCAGTTAGTTAAGGATTCTCACAAACTCATCTGTTCTAGAGCATTGTTGCCTCTTTTTTTTTTCACTTTTATCTGGCAATCTTTGCAGCAATAACTACAGAGGACACTACCATGATGAAAGAAAGAATCTGCTTAAAACCATCTCTTCTTCCCTACTCGACAGAAAGTTGAACCGAAAATATTATGCAGTGCAGGATGCACAACACTAGTTAATGCATAAATCTAAGCTTGCAAACAACAGAGAAGCTAAAGTGCTGATATTGAATAAGTGATGACAATAGAATCTGATGAGCTAGTGTTTGATTTTGAAAAGGAAATACAAACAATAAAAGAAGTTTGTGGTTGCTGATAAAAAATTAGGGACAAAAGTGCAGAAGAGCAAGCAGCAAGATGTACCTCTCCAAAAAATTCATCCTGGTGGTTCGAATTGGCAGCAGAAGTTTCCCTCAAATCAAAAAAACTATCTATGCCATCATCATCATCAAAAATATGATTTATTTGGTTATGAGACACGCCAAAAAGGTGTTCATAGCTTTGAAATGTCATGTCGACATCATTCACATTGAAATCCTCACAGAAATCATCTTTGCTGAATTCGAAATCTTTAGTCCCAACACAATCTAGCTGAAATCAGTTAAAAATTTATAAGCAATTGGCATCAGTGTAAGAAGCTAACATCGGAAAACATTCAAGCATAATTCTCAAGGGTAAATTCGATTCTATCTCTCCCAGACAGTGCATCCAAAATCTAAGTTATGAAACAGTTTATCGGAAATTGTTATTATTCTAAGTGTTAGAAACCGGTCGTATTTGTTAATAAAGCATACACTACAAAGTTCTTAAGCTCAAACGAAATTTCTGCAATAACTGCAGAGTCAACTGCAAGGACACCAGACTAGGGAAGTTGCTTTAATGATAATGATAGATTATAGTTTAAAAGTATTTTTGGTGTCAAGGGAATACCTAAAAGAGATCATTTGTCAGTGTCACAGAGACAGAGGAGGTGCAACACAAGGTTATAAAATGCTGAGGGGGTGACAATCTGATAGATTGATAATTTATGGATCCAGAGGAAGGGTACCCTTAAATGTATGTTATATCATGCAGACTAATTGTTAATGCAAGTAACAGCTGCAAATCTTTGGTGGCAACAAGCAATTCTGGAATATAACATGCTAGCTGATTGTTAGTATCAGGTTTGAAGTGGGGGAAAGCATCTTGAATGGCAGAATTGCATTTCATAGTAGATAGTATAACAGATTTTTGTCAACAGAAACAATCATCAGTATATTCGATAATTTGGAGCCAGTTAAATCAAATTTCAAATGTCAGATGCACCTTAGGTATAGTTGAATCCACTGAACCAGCTGTCTGATCAGCAGTAGAGGGCAAAGGACATATTGCAGGCCCTGAAGATGATCCAGTCAGGGGATTGAGCTTATCTACAACTATTGGATCTTTCATCTTCCCTTCACTGGAAATACCCAAGGTACTGTTGCTTTCTGGACGTCCCCAGCAGTTACTAATGTTGTTCTCACTGATGGTCATCAAGCCTAAACCCTTTTCACAGTCAGGCTCAGCTACAGGAGGGAACTCCTGAAAAAAGGGCAAAATTCTCGAAAGCTCTGCTGCTGATGGGCAACCTGAATAGCAGTTTATTGTCTGCCTTTTGTGCCCTGAAGCTACCCCTGATCCATCATGACTATTCCAATCACAATTTTTACAAAGTGAAACACTTTCTTCAATGCACCTAATAACAGCTGGTTGTGCACTGCATCTGTCACACAAAAGAGTGCGCAAGTGGCGCCGAGAAAGTGCATTTGCAGAATGGACATTGCGGTCGCATGACAAGCACAAAGAAGCAGCATCAGATCTGCAGTAGATGATAGATCTTTGTTCCCCACAAAAATCACAGAGATGATTCATGCTTCCTCACTTTCAGCTGCCAACCAGTCAAATCAAATGCTGATTTGAGAAAACTGATATTATTCTTTAACGAAAATTTTCATCATGTTGGTGTTGTCAGCATACTCTTGAAAGTTTTGACCAATAACAGCATTTTCCAAATAAAACACACTAAAATTTTAACTACTTGGATGGTTAAAACTGGTTAGGTTTAAAGTGCATTAAACAAAAAAGAACTCAAGTTGCACATTTGTGAATCAATAATGTGTCCTATATAGTGCATTTGTAAACCAGATTTCATAACAAAAACAGACAGATATGGTTAAAGCTAAGCTCTAAAACTCAAATTGCTTATATGTAAATATTAATCAACATTGTTGATCTTATTTCAATAAAATTGCCCACTTAATAATCACCCAAATATTCAAATTCTTTCAGTTCACTAATCCCAGTTTCATAATCTACAGAAGGGTAGTTATAAATAGAACTTCTAATGATCTTGGAGACCGCTAGTAACATAAAACTCTCCAAGCTGATATCTGAAACCAATAGCGAAAAGGGCAAAAGCTAAAAACAAGCCACGCTAAACGTTGAGGAGCAATTCAACTACAACAGCAAACCAACAGAAATCTCACGCCCGATAAATTAAAGAATATTAGGTACCTTTTAACAGTACAACCAGTTAGTGTGTCATGCGAGAAGAATATTTGAAGCCAAAGAATCTGAAAAGAAAAAAATGCTTCTTTTACCAAATTTGGATTCGATCAAATCCGAAAAAAGAGAAATCCCAAAAAAAATCAAAAAGGAATTTCTTTTTCCCGAGAAATTATAAGACGAACAATCCATCATTTGATCCCCCGTCATTGTTCCGTAGTGGTACGGCTCGTACGAAATCCACATGAGAAACCAAGAAGCATTAGTGGTCGAGGAGTCGGGTTGGCAAAAGAACTGCAGAGGTCGTCCAAACCTAGCTACCCAAAAATGCAAGTGAAAACAACAACCCAAAATACGACTCGTTCCACACGACATCCAAGTCCACATGATAACAAGATCCAAAAAGAAAGAAAACGCGGTTATCGATTCACGGCGATCTCATCGGATGACGAAAAAGCTTGTTCTTGTTACCTCGTCTTCGATACGAAAAAGAGAAATGAGGGGGTAGAAACCCGCAGCGAAAGACGAAGGATGCGAAAGCGAATTCGCTCAAGAGAGGAATATTAGAGAGATAGGAGAGGTGAGGAGAGGAGGGACCGAAAAGATAAAGAGAAGAAACATGAGACGACGAGGGGGCGGGGGCGGAAATACCTTTGCCTACCCGTATAAATCGTACCTGCCCCCGTGCCGTCCTCTGCACTTATAACACGTGCGGGACCCGCAAATACTCACAGTCTTCGGGAAAACATGGGCAGGAAAAAACGGGTGCCAATAACTTTTGCTTTTCTGTCGAGAGGCTACTTAAAAGTTTGCTATTAGTATATTATCATTAGGAAAATATCCTCTTTCTTAAGGAAAATATTATATATATATATATATATAATTATTTTTGACTTATTTATCAAAATAAAGGCAAATGAACTTAAGACCCAATAGAAACTGACTAATATATAAAAGTAGGTTTAAAATATATATCATTTAAGAATAATAATAATCAGATAAAATATAAAAATAACCAAATACATAGACTTTCATGTCGATTGTAGTTCTTTTTTTTTATTCTTCTACTAAAACACTATCAGTGTATTAAAAAAATATTTTGGTTAAAAAATATTATAATTGAGGAACTTGATCGATTCATCGTTCGGATAAGATGCTCAGATCTAAATCGATGGATTGGTTCATTCAATAGATTAATTCATCAAAAAAGATGAAAGCTATTATTATCTCATCGAGAATATTATGAGAAATATGATAAAATGGAGATACATATAAAATTATGACTTTTGCATGAATTTATCTTTTATATTTTCGATAAGTCTCGAGATAAGAAATAGAGGAAATCATGTTGCGGAATGCGCCCTTTCCTTCTCCCTCTAGTGGATTCTCATTCTCTTCCATAGGTAAACATCTTTCTATGAGTTTCTTCTCCCTCACTTTGTGGATATATGAATGTTAGTTATGGGTCGAAGAATCCCTGTACGATGCAAACTTGGGGTTACAGGTTAGTTTGAGATGAAAAAGATGATAATATTTGATTGTTTTCAAGCGCTTATTTTTATTATTTGTTTGCTTATTAGTAAATTTGGTGTTCTTTAATCTAAATGGATGGTTGTATGGTACTTGAATCTATGATAAATTAGGAGAAAAAGAAAAGGCAAATTCTTGGGTTAAAGAAAAAATCTAGATGAGATGTTGGGGTCATGGATCTGAGGGATCTGAACTTTGTATAATGTATTCTGATTTCACAGAAACAAATGAATTTTATCTTAAGGAAAAGTGTTAATTAGTTGTAGCTCTATGGGAATCCAGGTGAAATCTTCTACTAAAAGTCATAGGCATTAGTGTGATTCCCTATAGATATTGATGCAACACAAAATTTTCTCTTTCTCATTTGGGGATTGTTTAAGGTCCATTCCATGTTGAATGTTATTGTCCATTTTCTTTTATCAGTTTTCCTGTTCTAATCCAGCCAAGTTATTTGGATCATAATCATTTGAGTCTCATCTTGGTTGAGATTGAATAGATGAAAAATATGATTTCTTTCCTATTTTCAACTTCTACAAACAAGTAACTTGAATATCCCCAATTAACAAATCCTTACAACTCTTGCTTGCACTGTTATTTAGATGTATTTTTCTTAGTTTATATTCTCCTATCTTTTACTTGTGGATTTTAGATGAGTAAAATAGAATAAATCTAGTGTTCTTACCTGAGGGTTCAGAGAGAGTCATTGTATGTAACATTTCTCTTACAAATAGAGTCCTTACCTGAATTTATAGGGTATCCTTGAAATACTAAGGATCAAGTTGAAATACTAACGATCATTCTCATTTTTTATATTCGACCACTTCTTCGCTTCACTTATTTTGTATGATAAAATACACTAATTATTTCATCTATCTCTTCCCATTTTATATCAGTTCCTCACATTCCCTATGGAAGTTCAGAACATTTAGTCTTTAAGTGATCTTTGCAAGGCTTGTTTTTAAGCTATTTGGGAGGCTTTTATTTTGATTATGATACTGTCTAAGATTGTATGTAGTTGGGTTTTTGCCAGATGAAAGACTGCTGGATGGATATAAGATGAGACTCTGTAGTTCTTCTGAAAAACTATGACTGTGGATCTTGATAATTTTATTAGTAATTCCTCGGTTCTTCTGCACATCGAAATTGTATTTTGTTTGAAGGGTAAGATGCAGAAATCATTTAGCAGAGCTTGGGAATATGTGAAGAAGACCATTATCTGCAACATTAAATAGCAAACGAGAGAAGACCTTTGACAATTCGATTAGAAACAGTGAATTGAGGACAATAAAGGATGCTGCATTTGGTAAGTACTGCTAATGGCTTGAAGGATCCATGTAATTTGTCCCACATCATTGGGCCTTGCAACCTCATTTCCTAGACTCCAGCTTTATCCGAGTTCAAGGTAAAGAAGCAAAAACATGTATACTAAATGCATGTGATAACCACATCTGAGTGAAAGAGAAGAGAGGCATTATGATGTCTGAAGCTGTGACCATGTTGTCGAAGCAATCAAATGTTAGTCTCCGCCTGTCAGTGATTGAACATAACTACATTTAGTATGGTCAATACAGGAGGTGAGGAGAAGGGTATAGAATAGGAGCTGTTCTATGTCTTCACCATGGCATGGATGCAGCTATCAAGAAATTGGCTAGAGATTCACGCAGTTATGCTTCTGGTAGTATCTAATCTAACATTTCTTTTTTCTTCTAATAAGTTATCGAATGCTAGTGTTCAATTTCTTTGTGAATGATCTGCTCCTTCGTTCTGTGGCTTTGTGGCATGAATATATAATAGTTTATTTTGTGTGTTACCCGACTGATACTTGATGTCAGAAACAATGTTTGATGATCGTACTCCTTGTTATGCCTGTCGTATACTGATATCGATCTTGGCACACAAGCAAGGCTTTTCAATGGCCATCGACAGGAAGGAGCCAATTTACACTGCAAATGATGGTTAAAGCTACACAGATTTATACAACTCTATTTCATGTTATGGAAACTGGCAGAACAACAGATATAAACATGGAAGGATCTGCAATCTGCTCGGACGACGACTCGCGATTCGAGAAAACATGGCTGAATCTGATGCTATTGCATGATGAACCTGGAACAGAGGCAGTGTGGCCATGACCTGGTGGTGGAGTGGACACTGGAGTGGAAGACTAGCCTTTTGCTCTCTCCTCCTCGGTTAATATTCGGATGGCACCGGTTCAATTTCCAGTGGTAATCCTCTTGGGAACTCCACGTAGGGGTAAGCGATGGGAATGTCTTCTTCGCCTTCCAGTTTCCACCTAAAGAGCATTTTCCATGGCAAAAGTCGATTAAAGCAGATAGCTTGCACGCTTTACTTTGAACGAGGCATCAGTCCGCAAACTTTAATTGCGTAATTGTTGTAGGAAATTCACATTTTTATTGTGATCCAACATGGTGAGGTCCTGGAACTCACCAGGATACCAAGGAGCAATCTCAGGGTTACACCAGAAACATTCTGGAGGCTGATAGATATGTGAATTACCTGAAATTGAGCACCATGAAGTGGAGGAAGAAAGCAACCTCCACTTTGGCAAGTTCAGATCCTGGGCAAAGCCTTGGCCCACCACCAAATGGAGTGAACTTTTTGGTTGATGTTTGGTTGTAACCCTGCTCACAATTTGCAACAAGAGAGATGCTCATTCAAATCAGAATAAAGATGCTAGAGATCTAATCAGTGTCTCATAACATCACCATGCAAAAGTTAGGATGGCATCACTATGTGTTGCATCAAATTTATTTCATGGTGAAGAATATATACCTCCACTAAGTATATTTAAATGTTTCTTTTTAAGTTCATCATCCTCACTGATACAAGGAAAGCATGTATTGTTGTAATGTAACAGCTAAATTACCTCCCATCTCCAGGGGTGAAACTCTTGGGGATTTCCATGAAGGGAAGAGTCTAAATGTACTGCACTGAGGACGGGCAGGACCTTCCAGCCACATGGGATCAGATACTCTTGCCAAGAGGCAAAAACAAAGGTTGTTCGTCAGAAAGAGATTAAGACAGGCAATAAAATAAAGCATTTGCAAAGGATGATGATCTACTGCAGGTAGAGCCATGTGAAGACCATATAGGAAGGAGTAATAATATAAATCACAAGTGGAAGGGCACCTACCTTTGTATCTGACATCCTTGAGAGCCTTTCTGTGAACAAACTTAACAATGTTTCCACATCTTAAAGTCTCATTTATGACCTGAAAGGACACACCCACACCAATTACTCCAGCAAATGGTGCATAATTTAATCTCGGAAAGGAGGCTCTTCTCACTTACATGTTGGGTAAACTCCATTTTCTTGTAGCCTTCTGAGTTCAAGTACTCATCCTTCTTGTTGGCTCTAATGGACTGGTGTTCTGACTATAAGCAATACAATACAAAAGAAAAGGGTGCTTTAAACAGCTACGTTTGATGAGAAAAATACCTGTAACACCACAAAATCATACCTTGAGCTGCTCCAGAGCTGATGGACATTGCCCGAGAAAGTAAACAGCCATTGACATCAGCAGGGAGGTGGTCTCATAGCCACCCAGCAAGGAGTCCAGCAAGAAACTGACCTTTTCCTCCTCAGACAAATTACCAACTGATAGGAGTTCATCAAGGAAGTCACCCTTCTGACTGGAATCCCCTCCGTTCTTTCTTCTTTCTTCTAGTATGGCTTTCACAGTTAAAGAAATCCTAGCTCTAGCCTGTAAACATAGAGTTGGAGTGAACAAACGGTGATGAGATTACTCTGAGACAAGACATGAAAGAAAGCAAAGAAGACACACCTGAACAGCTTTGGCATATGCGGTTCCTGGGATGTAGAGGGGAAAAGAAATGAGACCCTTCATAAAAGTCAGGAAGTCCTCAAGAATTTTTGCAGTCTGTGGCTCATCTTGTGACAACCCGAGGACTTGTTTCACTATGACACTGAAAGTGAACTGCGTAAAGAGAATGCAAAGCATTAGACTTGCATATACCAGTAGCAGGTGCCCATGTTACGAAGCTTGTGTTCTAACCTTTCTGGCCTCCTCACAGAAGAAGATCCTCTTCTTGTCCTTCCATGAGCCCATGACTCGAAGAGCGATTCTCTCTATATCATTGAGATATCCAGCTCTTGCCTTGGTGGTGGTGACCAGTGTCAAGGCCAGGTTTCTCAGCTTCTTGTGGGTGTCACCTACCACCACAATCATGGAAGACTTGCCCAGTATGCCATGTATGGGTCTCGGGTAGCTGCACTGGAACAGCTTCTCCTCGTTCTGGAGTATGAAGTGGTTCAGCTCCTGGTCACAGGAGACGATGGTCGGGGTACAGAAGAGCTGCGACTTGAAGACCTTCCCATACCTGCACAGGTGAGTCTACAGTCACCTAATCTTTCCCATGGCTTGCTTTCTTCGAGTAGAGTTATTTAGTCAGCAACATTTACACTGCTTGACCATCATGCGAGGAAAGAAAGTAGATGCATGCACTCGAATACTTTTAGCTTTCCACACACAACAGCTTAGCCATAAAGGAGATGACCACATCACATACGTAAATGTTCTTGACAAATTAGATATCATTTTCGCAAAAGAAAGTTCAGAATTAGATGCCATATTTCGTCATTGAAAAGTAGGTAAAACGAATGTGTTCGAGATATCTAAGATGCAATACGTACTACGGAAAAGGAGCGTCTTTTCTCTCATTGGTGAGAGAACCCAATAGATCGACTTAGATTGCAAATGCTTCGAGAACAGTTTCTTTCTTATCGCAAATGGAAACAAAAATACGGAGAAAAGGAAGAGGGGCACCATGGTGATTGATTGCTGGGAGAAGGAAAGGGAGATTGGGGAGGAGAAAGAGACGATAGCCATGCAAGAGCATGCTACAGTGAGTGTTGCAGTCTCCTTTATCAGAGAAGTCTGGTCTTGCAAGGAGAGTCAGTCATACGAGAAGAAGATTTACCTAGAACAATGGTCTTCTAAGAAACTTCCAAGAGCATATGAAGCATGTGGGCTCAAAAACCTCAAGGTCTCGCCTAACAAAGGCCATCCGAAGCTCCCCCTTGGAGCAGCTCCAAGATTCAGTAACAAGGGAAGGAAATGGTTCAACACCACAACCAACATCACGATGGATCCCAGGAGAAGAGCAGAGAGCAGCCCTCCCTCCATCACACACTGCCAGGCCAATTCTCATCACAAGAAGCCTTGCAACTCTCCTGGGTGGAACCGAGGAGGCATCTTTATACCAGCACGACAGGAAAAGCAAACAGGCTTTTGGCAGCTTGTTACTGCAGGGTTGAATTGGCTTTTCAGAAGCCTAAGAAATGATATCAAGCTAGACTAGCATCTAGCTAGGTTTCTTAACTCTTGGGGGGTGCGGTATAGCCAGACTTTGTACACACTCGTAGAGGAGGCGAATGGGAGCCTAACATTCTAGCTTCTGATCTGCTTGCTATGTTGTGAGTTGAGAGACATTATCTCATTCTAAGAAATGTTTGAAGCCTCTGTAGAAAAGCTCCTCACAAGCGATTAATTCTTTCTTCAGGAGGTTCTTACAATGCATTTGGATCTAATCTTTACTTCATTTGATTATCGAAGTTGCCCATTGTGAGAGGTTATATTCTTGAACTCACTCATCGTCTCCGACCAGCTCTGAGCTCTCCCCTGTTCACATCATATTTTATGGTGCCCTTGGAGCATTGTTCTATATGGGCAGAGAGTTATTCAAAGAGCCGCACGAGTTGCAGTGATTGTAGGACAGATAGGTCCACCTTAGCCCCCATTAAGATGGCTCACAAAACAATGCCACAGCATCTACATCACTCAGCTTTTTTTCCCCTTCTTGTTGATCCCTCACTCCCTCTGCAAGAGCTACTCCAATTAATATCTTGTTCTGCACCTCTCTCTCTCTCTCTCTCTCTCTTCCTTTTAACCAGCTCGATTTGAGCTGAAGTGGATTGTTAGTTTGCTGATTTAATACAATATAAGGCTCTGCTACAAGAGGAAAGGAGAGTGGAGCCAAAAGGTGAGAGAAATAAGCCTTGGGTAGTGCAAGGAAAAGTAGGTTTGAGTTAACCAAAAGTTGATAGTATTAAAAACAGGAACAGATCAAAAGTTGATAGCTTTGAGTTAACCAAAGAAGATATTTAAGACACTAGATTGATTTTAAAGTTGTCCCCATCGCAAGTTGATCTCTTGTGAATCCTCTTCGGTTGTTGGCGTTACAACACCATGGCGGATGATCATCTACATGAAAACAACGTATTCCTGATGCATCCTCAAGAATGGTAGAAGCATCGACCTGCAGGCTAATCAACATTCCTTCGAAGGTAGGCAATGGCTGGGCAAGGAATGAAAGGACCAAATTATGGTCTCCGGCTCCACGACCACTCAAATCAATTCATGGGGGTTGGTGAGGGAGGGGGGCGGGGGATATGATATGGACAACAGGATGTCATATCAGTCCACAAAACCCTTTGGTGTCTCATAAATCCACTGATTTGACGTGGGCTCCCACTGGTGCATGCATGAGGCTTGCATGAAAAAGAGAGAAGAAGAGAAAGGCAAAAAAGAGAGATCATAGCTGGTTGAGTGTGGAGTTGTGGCATTTGACTCTACGCATATTGGTCAAAGGCACTTCGTCTGCCAAATTTATGTTCTTGGGTTCCACAACACCCATCTTTTAAGTCCCAAGAAACCATCTTAGGCAGTGCTGGTGAGAGAGAAATGCAAGCCTCGGGAATTCTTATTGTTGGTGAGACTCAAATGAAGATTCTTACCATGAGAAGAACCGCTTAAACTTGAACTTGAGGATTTGTCTAATATTCCCACTTGGTGTTCTTCATGCATTTACGATTTATGCAAAGTGTAATAGATCTATTATGGATACAAGATGCAGAAAAAACCAAGTGGGGAAGAGAGATGACTTGCACTGAGAATTCTTCACTCCTCACAGGTGTATCTTTTGTTCTCTAGCTTTTTGAGTTTATTAGGTCTTTCTTCCCGGTGTTCGAGATGACACGAGGTGGTGTCAGCCGAAACCAGCCCTCCCTTGTCTTGCCTCTGACTCCATTTCCCACTGTCGTCTCTCTCTCTCTCTCTCTCTCTCTCTCTCTCTCTCTCTC